GGATATGTCGACAGCGGATCATCCGCAGACCGATGACCAAACCGAAAGGGTGAATCGCATCATCGAAGACGTTCTTCGCAGCCTCAGCGCTGAGACGCCGAGGTGCTGGAGCGCCAAGTTGCCACTCGTAGAGTTTGTACTGAACAATGCAGTCTACCGGCTACACGCCGTTCTACGTGAACCGGCTGGTTCACCCTCGCGTCCCACTGACGCCGCCATCCAATGGCTCGGGGCTTGGTGGGGGAGGAATAGCCGAAAGGCTAGCTGATGTCAGCCCCCTTACCATCCGTAAATAAGTCGATGACTACTTGTCTACCAGACTGAGTGTCCTGCGACACGTTCGCGATGCGGTGGCTGAAAGCCAAGACCTGCAGAAAGAATATGCAGATGATAGGAAGAGGCAAAGTGGAAGGTTTTAAGGTCAGAGGCCTGATTTTATTAAACTCTAGAAACATGCCTACACATGCAGCCTCTGCTGTCTTCCGGACGAATCTTCGTCCACGGTTTATTGGACCGTTTTATGTTGTGGTCAAGCGGGGCTTAGCGTATACGCTAAACCTTACCAAACGGATGCGCACCCACCCGGTGTATTACGTGGGTTTGCTCAAGTCGTATCGGAATCCGGTGCATGTGAACGCGGAAGCGTTGGCGCCAGAGCGGACCCCACGGGCCCCCGGTCACTCAGAAGCTGAACCAGCAACTGGTTCCGAGCATGGAGTGCAACAACCTCCATCTCCAATGGATCCAGGCGCCCCACCGTTGCCTACAGCAACGCATTCGACTGCTCCACGGCTAGGAGTCGCTCCGATAGAGCGCGTTAGTCCTCAAGGCGAGGCAGCCGGCGCACGACGCGCTCCACATCATCAAGAGCCTCCGCACAGCGATATGCTTCTTTAGCATGACGCTCAGCGGAGCTCCGATCACGAAGGATCCCATCCTCAAGGGCTCGAAGAGCACCGCGAGTCATCGAACGGCGGTCGACTCGGCCGTCACCGCCCGCCACCGACTCATCTCGATGAGAACGGTGACGTCCACCGTCACATGGAACGTCGAGTGGGGCGACTTCGTCACCAGGATCAGACCCAATATCTGGTGAGGTGGCGGGGATACCTCGACTCCGAAAACTCGTGGGAGTTTGAGACGCCACTTCAGCAAGATTGTATATAAGTCGTGGACGCTTTTGATCAGAAAGATCAGGACAACCCGCGCTTCTCGGCAATAGCCAGGAAAGTGTAAGGTCATGAGCTGAGCTCAAGCGGTGGCCCTGTGCTCTTGCGGTCACAGACACGGAGCTCGCGGGAGCGTTGGGGGTTGACCCATACGTCGCAGGGCGACAATCTGAAGGGGGTTGACAGCGTGCTTTGAGTTGGCAAACTTAAATCGGAAGTGTCGCTCCACACGCACGTCCGCTTCCTTGTGGCTCAACTGTAAAGCATACAATGAGGAAAGTTTGCGGTGCCGTTGCACCCTTCGCTCAAAGAGCGCTTCGTCATCTGTAGCGCTTTCGCCAGGGGCGAGCACAACAGGTATCGTCCGCATTGCGGGTACACGAGAGCCACCTCGCTGAGCACGTAGACGAGTGCGATAAGGATCTGACGGAAATTCTTGTGAAACCAAGAAACGAGCTCTAAGAGCTTTCAGTTTGGCAAGCTCATCTTCCGTAATGGCCGAAGGCCCGATGATGTGGAGGCGTAACGATCGAGTTACCACGTCCTCCGCTTCCACAACGGGATCCGCCGATCTGAAGCCATATTCCACTTGAGGGTCAATGACCGACCGTGGATGGGCGCACATCAGATCCGCCTTGCGGCAGCTTCCATCTGCCGCTTCTGTGCTCAGGTGACGAGAAGTCGGGAAACGGAATGGGGTCCGCACGGCGCGAGCAGGGCTCGTCTTACGTCGCTGGCACGGCTCGCCTTCCTCGTCTTTCCATCCGGGAAAAGGAGTGTCATACTCGTAGTCGACCACCTCCACATTGAGTCTAAAATTTACATCCCTCGATGCCGCGGAGACACGGTCCGACATGACACCATGTGCGGGAGATGTAGCTGGGCTCTGCCCGTGAGCGCTGTCGGAACCAG